CAAGCTTACATGAGAAAGATCGTGACACTTATCAAACGAAGTAGATCAAGTAGTACTCAACGCATTGTTCTAAATGAACTGAACCAGGAAAGGGCGATGTTTGTAACTGTATTCTCTCGGTAAAGCAGTAATTTAATTGTACGAGTACACGAGAGACGTCCACGTTTCTCGTCACTCAACACAATCGAAAATTGCGCCAGCTGATCTGAATTTATTGACGCATTTCCAAAACATTTTCAATAATTAAGTATTCGCTGTTCCAACACTGTAAACGCGTAACGTAAAAGTTTACGTCCGATAACTAGGCCGAAAAATCTCGAGTAAAAGAAAATTTGCTATACGTTGACGCAAGATGAGCTGAAAATTCGAACGCTGTGTCGGAAAGAATATCAAACGATATATTGAACTGCATTTTTTACCATTCGTGGGTGCAACTTTAAATGCATTAATCTAGAGCATGCAATCTAGAACTTCCCTTTAAGAATTTTACAATCGTTTATGTGTTACGATTATAGACAGTTGATCGTAACGAATTTACGGCACGCGCAGAATTTTAAAATACAAGAAAATGTATCAATTAACAAGGTCTGATAACATTCTTATTTTTCTTTCGCAACGAATGATCTTTCATTTGACAAAAAAAGCTTTTATGTCGTTCAAATTTTTGTAAACCGATGTATGAAAATGAAAATTTCCGTATCTTCACATTATAAGACCGCAGATTTTACGTACTCACGATCAAAATCATTGGATGAACACTGTTACATCACTACCACCTTATTAAAATCGTTCAGAGAAGAAATCGATTTTTATCGAATCTCTGTTCCCTTCAATCGATGCAAACAATTTTTATTTTGCACAAAGAGCCACGATCTAATTATCAGATCACAAATTTTATGCAGTTGAAAGAAATATCATTGTGTAAAGTATACGAAACGGTGAAAGAAAAACACTGGAAGAGCAAGAAATTGATTTTTATCGAATGTCTGTTCCTTTTAATCGATGCGAACAATTTTCGTGTTGCATAGACATCTTATTTCACTATCACTACCATCACTATCGGGTCTTATTTCTCTAATTCGTCTTCTTTTTAGCGGCCCAATTTCTTCTGCACTACAATCAGAAAAACTGCTTTCAGATTCCAGAATTCCATCCATTTCTATTTTTAAGGTTACGAATAAGTTTAGTGACTAACAAATTTCGGTATGTGCACAGCACCGGCGATAGTGATTGCAGAGATAACAAAGAGTGTGTGCAACAGTTATTAGTATCGGTGCTTGCCTCTGTGATCTTATACCGTTAGGGAGTGTGTTATTTTATTAATTAAATATTTGGATTCAATACCGAACGCAGCCGCGTATATATACGCTCCGGTGATAGTGGCCAGGAAAATTGAGCGTATATATACGCTTATGATTGCAAATGGGTTAAAAAAACATATTAGGAAACGATGTGTGTGTCGTACCGAACGAGGAGTATAAAATGTACCCTGGTGTCGATTTCAATGAACAAAATACAATGCATGGATAAACTAATAAAATAATAAATGCATAAGTGACAAACACTTATGACTTAATATCTACTGTCGACAATATGATGCCATATTGCAAACTCGCAGTTATGCAGTTGAAAGAAATATCATTGTGTAAAGTATACGAAACGGTGAAAGAAAAACACTGGAAGAGCAAGAAATTGATTTTTATCGAATGTCTGTTCCTTTTAATCGATGCGAACAATTTTCGTGTTGCATAGACATAATTGCATAGTCGGTCCATAAATTCGTGCGATTTTAATTTCGATTTAAATTTCCCGCATAATAATTGACTAACAGTTACGTCTCGTACATCGTTCGATAGCTTTTTTACCGTACGATTAAACTCGTAAAGAATTCTTTAGGAAGAATTTTTCATTTTTTGACAGCTAATGGGGTGTCGAGTTAACAAGAACGAACGTTTACGATTTAATCGTACAGCAAAACATGTCGGAGATGTTCATTCT